GAAGGAAATTTCCCCATAAGGTTCAATGTAATTACCTTTAATCCGTTCTGGCGTGGAGGACGGGGAGGTGGCTATTGCTTGGAGGGAGAGTCCCCCCCCACGACCACGTGTCAGGGGCAGAAAATAGCCGTGGACCACGTGTCAGGGGCGGAAAAATGGCCACGGACCACGTGTCAGGGGCAGAAAATAGCCGTGGACCACGTGTCAGGGGCGGAAAAATGGCCACGGACCACGTGTCAGGGGCAGAAAAATAGCCGCAGACCACGTGTCAGGGGCGGAAAAATAGCCGCAGACCACGTGTCAGGGGCGGAAAATGGCTGTGGACCGTGTCATGGGAGGGAAAATGGCCGCGTATCCTGTTCGTACCCCGAGGTGGAGTTCGCAAACCGAGGTAAATTTTTGCGGCCAGAGCTGGTCATAACCCGAAAAGTTCGTTAACAGAGGTGTTCGTAACCCGAGGTACCACTGTATTCAGTCTATTCCAGCTGTGAGGCACAAAGGCATGGGGCTCTTCTTAATACTTTCCATATTTGAGAGGCTGGGCTAAGATGGGCATGGATTATGTGCTTTGGAAAAAAAGCATCTGATGTTTCCCTTGCCTTTCTCTTAAGTGTTCGTGTCAACAGAAGACGCAAATCAAGTCCTGACAAGATCCAGACGTGCTGCTTTTATGTTTTTTGAGGAAATTTTCGAAGGGAATATAGAAAGAGAATGCCTTGAGGAAAGGTGTACGCGTGAGGAAGCAAGAGAGGCTTTTGAAGACACAGAAGACACTGTATGTATTTTCAACATCAACATTTCCCATACAGACAAGTTAATTCCCTTACCAGTCAAGCCCTCTTGACAGTATTTCAATCAAAATATGCCCAGTCACAACTTCTGCCGACAATAATTCTGGATTGTAACCATTTCTGTACAAGTGCAGAACCCTTAGCCAGGGTGTTATGTTTGCATTCCACACAACTCAGCCTGACACCTGTTGACCACTTTAGATTAATGCAGGCATGCCTTCTCCACTCCCGGGTCATTTCACTTTTTGGGATGAGTCTGGATCTTCCAAACTGGTCTCTGCCCTGTACCTCTCTGAACCAAACTACAACTGAAGACCTGAATCAGCCTGAACAGTGGTTGAAGAGGAGGAGGAGCGGGGTGTTAAGCAGCTTTCAGCTACTTCACAAGGCAACTCTCCTCATGCGTCTCATTGTTGCTTGGTCTGCTTTTGAACACAGGTTTAGTGCTGTTCTGGAATAGCACTAAACCTGTGTTGAAAAGAAACCAACCATCATCTGATATCTGATAGATGGACCTCCTTTGAACACACTCATAAAAAATACTTGTGCTAAACCAGGGCAGGTTTTGACAGGCAGATAAACTCTTCATCATCTGTCAATGCTCTCCTCTTCCCAACCTGCATCTCACATAAAAAGGAATGGCTGTGGATGTTGAGTGAGTGAGTGAGTGAGTGAGTGAGTGAGTGAGTGAGTGGTTGGTGGGTGGGAGGGGATAAAAACCTGGAGGAATCCCTCAACCCCTGTCCTTAACATGCAGCACCAGTGGCCAGTCCTGTGCCTG